GAAATCAGTCCCAGGATCCTGAGATCATGACCTGAGCCAAAGGCAGACACTTAAGCGACTGAGCTACCCAGGTGCCACGCAAACAAATATATTTCAGGAAAAAGAAAAATCAGTAGATTTAAAGACATACGTAGATAATAATACAGATGGCTCTGTGGATAAGGCACAAATTACCATACCCAAAGAACTGAGTTTTAGGAAATCTTGTTTGGCTAATAATCTTTGAAGATGCTTAGTTGTGGAGGGAAGATGAAAAGAGATGGTGTAGGGTCGAGAGAAACATTTTTTTTTAATTTTTATTTTTTTAGAATGGGAAGACTTCAGCATCCTTCTTGGTTGAAAAGCCAGGAGTGACAAAAAGAGTTGAAAATCCAGGTAAACAAAAACAAGAGAAGACAAAAAGAGAAGAAAATCCAAGTAAAGGAGGGAGACTTGATGGCATGAAGTTCCAGGGGTTGGGGAGGGAGGTGAGATAAGGACAACACGGCTTCCTCTAAGATGCGGGCTAAAGTGCAAGGACAAAGAATGGGAGTGGGGTGAAGCAGCTTTTAGAGCAGAGGGAAATAACAGAGGGAATCCCTGTCAGGAAGTCACTGTCTTCTCAGTCCTTGGTTGACAGTGGGGAGGATGGGGAGTTTGAGGAGGGTGGTAAAGGTTCAGCCCATGACTTCTCAGGGCAATGTGTAGCAGAGCTGACCAAAGACAGAACACAAGAGCAATGGTGTTAAGAGCACAATTATAATCGACCATGAAATCTGAGGGGCCCCAAATGGGAATGACTTGAGAGATTTCCCCCAGGAGGCCAAGACTGGGCATTGGAACTGGACGATGATGCCTGTGAGAGGAATGAGGGGTTGAGGCACTTTTAGGAGCTGGTGAAAGGAAATTTCCAGTAATTGGTTATAGTGGGACAAGCTGATTGGGAGGGTGAGGAGGCTGGAAGGAGTAGAGATTTGGGTCACAGAAAGGGATATAGGGGCTAAGGATCTCAGATAGATGAGTTTTAGGGGTAGGGGGAGGGCAAGGCCAGTTGGCGAAGACAAGAGGACACAGAAGTCACCGCAGAGGAGAAGTCCAAGCTCTGAGAAGCAGGAGCGTTTAGAGTGGTCTTCACTGGAAACCTCTATGGCTGCTGGCCAGAGTCGGAATAGAAAAGCTTGAGTGCCAGGCATCTAAAGGCATCTAGGAATATGGGAGAAGTGGCCAAGAGTGGTCATAGTGAGGAAAAGAAAAGGTGGAGAGAATGGTAAAAAGAGAAAGCATTTTCACTGAAGGGAGAGATGGAATATTGGTCTGGAAGGGACAGGGGGGCCCCCAACAGGCCATGGAGCTGAGCAGGGAGAGCGACGTCCATTAGGGGGCGCTTCAGGCAAGTGATAGGAGGACTTGGTGTTCCAAGGAGAGCTGGTTACGTCGGAGGGGATGGGGTTCTAAAATACATATGGTTGGGCGCCTGGGTGGCTCAGTGGGTTAAGCCTCTGTCTTTGGCTCAGGTCATGATCTCAGGGTCCTGGGATCGAGGCCCGCATCAGGCTCTCTGCTCAGCGGGGAGCCTGCTTTCTCCTCTCTCTCTCTATGCCTGCCTCTCTGCCTACTTGTGATCTCTCTCTCTCTGTTTCAAATAAATAAATAAAATCTTTAAAATAAAATAAAATACATATGGTTGACCCTTGAATACCACGGGTTTAAACCTGGCAGGTCCACTGAGATGCAGACTTTTTTCTGACAGATGCAGAAAAGGATCATAAATGTGTCTGCTCTTCCTTATGATTTTCTTCAGAACGTTTTCTTTTCTCCAGCTTATTTTGTTGTAGGAATATAGTACCTAATACATGTGGCATACAAACTAGGTGCTAAGAGACAGTTTCTCTTACCAGTAAGGCTTCTTAGTCAAGAGGAAGCTATTAAGGATTTAAGTCTGGGGGGAGTCAAAAGTTGTGCATGGGTATTAGGGCTGTGCCGTGGGGAGGGGACTACATTCCTAAGCTGCACATTGTTCCCGATCAACAGTAGCTCCAGAGAGCTAAAGGTAAGGAGCTGGGAGAAAAGGAAACAGAAATCAAGAGGCAGGCTGGAGGAAGAATAGAACAGTGGGGGAGAAAGGATGTCCTGTTTCCTACAGCGGTGCCAAAGGACCACAGAAGTGAAGGAGGGACGGGATCCCACTGAGCACCAGCCAGCTACCCCCAAGCCACAGAAAGTGGCGGGACCTTGCCTTTCAGGAAAACAGGGCTCCTGGCCGTGGGCGGTATCTACAGGACAGCTGTCTTGCCTTGGATAGACACTTGGAACTCAGTTATTTCTGGAAAATTACACGACTTCTAGGAAAGTGAATCCCCCAACCCCTCAGCTGTTGTTTTTTTGTTTTTTTTTTTAAAGATTTTATTTATGTACTTGTCAGAGAGAGTGAGCACAGGCAGGCAGAGTGGCAGGCAGAGGCAGAGGGAGAAGCAGACTCCCTGCTGAGCAAGGAGCCCGGATGCAGGGCTCGATCCCAGGACGCTGGGATCATGACCTGAGCCGAAGGCAGCCGCTTAACCAACTGAGCCACCCAGGCGTCCCAACCCTCAGCTGTTTTGACTGATAGGGAATCTTCTTGTCCCTGCTCACTCCAGATGGATTTGCCCTCTGCAAGGCCCAGGTCCAAGGCTCAGGAGCAAAGGTGAAATCAGCCTTAGGAAACCTAGCCTTTTCTTGAAGTGCGCATAATTTCCCCAAGCAAACAGCAGATGACAGCAAAGAGCCAGAAAGGAAGCAGAGGCGTCACAAGAGCCCAGAAATGGTGAGGAATAAATCGGATTATGTTCCCCCAGTGCCCTCTGTTGCACTTAACCCCGATGTAGTACAAATATAACGCTCTCCCCCCCCCCCCAGACAGGAACTCCCTGCACCAGGGCGTCTCTGATTCCCTAGTGCAAATGCTGGCCACGTAGTAGGTGTTCAACGAATACGCTGTGGGGGCAGCTGGCTGGAGGGGAGATCCCCTGACTGGATGTGGTTAGGAGACAGACACCTGCCTTTTAGGACAACAAGGTGTGTGGGGGAAAAGTGCTCATCTGAGAGGGAATCTAGGCCAGGCTTTGAATCCTGGCTCTGTTACTTAAGGCCGGGAGCAAGATACCTAGCATTTCTGACCCCCAGTTTTTTCCTCTGTAGAAGGGGCATTTTCCACCAGGGCTGGTTATGATGAGAGAACACACAAAACGGGTCTAGCAAAGCATCTCACACACAGGAAACACTCAAAAAGTTGGTGTTCACAGTGGTTATAATTACTGTTAGAATTTTTAGAGGCAGCAGAGGAGAGAGGAAAGAATCACTAACAGTTAGTGAGAAATAAATTGGAATGAGGCCTTGGAATCCCTACTTCCTCTGCTCGGTTCCCCCCAAACGGTGCAACAACAGATCCAACAGAAGGCTGCATTGGTATCTATCACTTCTAGAAGCTGCAGCTTCCCAGACTGTGGGGTTTTTTGTGTGGGGGGTGGAGGGGGTAGTGGGGATGCCTACTTGGTATTTGCCAGGTCAGAACAGTCAGCTCAGCTACCTAACAGATTGTTGTGGGCACTGCAGAGCACCTTTGGCCAGAACTTGACTCACAGGCCCCAGAAAGGGGGGGGCGGTTCTAGGGCTCTGAGACAGCTGCCTGCCTGGTTCTAGTCAGAATGAGTGTAACCCTCAGACTCAAATATTATTAGGAAGCTGTTTCCTGCGCCACAGGAGACAGACCTGAAAAATGGCCCAGGGCTCCTGGCTACTGAGACTTTCCTTAGAGCTTACATGGGGGAATAGTGCATTGAGAGCAAATTAAAAGGAAGTGCTGACTTGGTGAGACCCCAAGTGGCTGCACAGCATAAAAACAGCCTCAAAGAAGACATATCCCAAGACGCTGACAGAAACCAGGGCACAGGGGGCCAGCCTCTCCCCCATCAGGAGACTCCGAGGGGAGCAACTGTGCCCATTCTCCAGTGTGTGTCTTGAGGCTGACTGGTCCTTGAGGCTAGCTTAGGCCGGAAGTTCTTGAGATTTGCCAGGATTCCTGAGTTAGAGGAAGCATGACTTCGAAACTGTCCTCCAGTGGCCCCAAGGGCCCGTGTAGCTGCATGTTATTTTTAATGTGTAGAAGGGAAGCCCTTGCTGCTTGAATTGAGGTGGGGGGGGTCTGCTCTCCCTGAAAAGTCCCAGCAACTAACATAGAGAGGCTAGTAGCTGAGACTAAAAGGGGATGCCTTCCAGGTACAGGCCTTTGAGGAAGGTTAGAGCCTCGAGAGGGAGGGCTCTCACAACTCTTCTAGAAGGGATGGGAACTCCCCTTTCATCTACCACATGATAGAGGAGGAAAGGAATACTTTAAGGGTCACTGTGAGGTCACAAAGAGTTCAGTCAACTTTCCTAGGCTGTCTCAACCAAGTTGGTGGTCTCTCCCTTGTGACGAAATCGAGGTCAATGGTTTATTTTACAAGGTAATCCCTGTTCTCTTACCTGCTTCTCTCCATCCTATAACCCCACAGTCCCTGAATTTCTTGCCACTCTCAATATCTTCTTTGGTTCTGAGAGGATGGATATAATGAGCAAGGGCATATGGTCCCTCTCTTAAGAGGGCCAGGGGGCTTCCGCCTCTCCTACTCTACGCTGCGCACGGAGGCAGGGGGAAGGCACAGCGTGAGCGAGCGACAAAGTGTGTGGGTATAGGGAGGCTCCATGTAAGCCCAATGCCACCAAAGACAACGAGCCCAAGGCCTAGACCCTAGGATACATGATCAGCGGCACCGGGCTCGCCCACAAAGGATGGTTCTGAAAAGCCCCCCAGGACTCTTATCCTTGCGCATCCTTATCCGTGCGCATCTCCCCACCCCCTGGCGTGTGGCAGAAGACATCCTACAGACACCCAGCCAGGCAGCAGCCCCAGATCCTGGTAGGCACCCAATACCCTGTGATTCCCCCAAACAGAAGGGAGCGGCGAGGTGTGACAGGGGCACGAAGGTGTGGCTTGCTGGCCTTACCTCCTTTCCAAAGCAGGTAGATGGGCACCACGTAGAGCATAACATGCTGAATGTAGTAAATCTCCAATTCGAAGGGGAGCTGGAAGGACAGGAGGAGGAGAGGTGTTTCAGAGCAGGAAGTACTCACGTCAATAGCTTCTCAAGTTGAACACCCTTGCTCTTTGGGACCCGCATCATGACCCCCCTGCCCCCCTGCAGTGAGTCAGGGGCTCCCTTCCCTTCACCATGAGGGAAAAAAAGAATGGAAGGGATAGACACTTAGGACCTAGGCTGGCATCTTCCAAAACATATTTGGCAGAGATGGTGCTTACAGAATGTTCCACGAAGAAAGCTGGTTATCACGGAAGAAATGTCACACAGACCAGGTACCCTGGAGAGCCACCGTGTATCCTCGTGGTAGAGTGAGGATCTGGGTGGTCTCTGCAACTACAAAACCGGCTTACCATGGTCTACCTAGTGTTTCCCAACCTTAGTGAGCCTGTGCCTTTTTGTTCACGTAACATTCAGTACTCTGTGGGATATACTCGAACAAACACAACCTGAAGTCCCTCCTTGCTTCTGGGGAGGAGGCAGCGAACAGTTTAAAAGCTTATTCCCTGACTGACATGAAGAATGTGTGGAGTAGGATTTCTTACTCCCATTTTCTGGGTTAAAAAAAAAAAAGTAATTGCTAGGTCTGGCCCGGTCTAGATCCAAGCATAAAGAGTTTCCCCGCTGGATATCTGGGGTCAGTCCAGAGTTAGCCCTCCTTTTGGGTGAAGACCAAACAGCTGGGCCGATTCTGACAATGGCTTGCCAGAGAGAGCATCCCCACCCTCACTCCCTCCCTGGGACGGGCGGGCTCGCTCACTGCTGCTTTCCACCTCTCTCAAAATGGAAGCTCCAGGTTCTCAAAGCAGAGCACGGTTTCCACCTGGCACAGGGACCGCGCTACAGAGTTTGGCAGAGGGCAAAGGAATGGAAACAGCTGGATGGCTAACTCAATTCTAGAGAAGGGGGAAAAAAAAAAACTTCAGCAGCTGGCACAAGGCCTGGCCTCTGGGGCTTCCACAGCCCACAATACACACACACACACACACACACACACGCGCACGCGCGCCTCTAAAGGGAAGCCCAGAGAGACAAGGACACCCCAGGGGAAGGGTCAGCTGCCTCCCTGTTCCCTACAAGGCAAGCACAGAACCCAAGCCTGCCTTGTGCCAAGGGCTGGAACCAAAAGATGGCAGAGCGCCCAGAATGGGGGCTGGGACGACTATGGACCCTGAACAGAGATGCTGGCTCTGGCCCTTGAAAATAAAAGCCCACGCAGAAGGAAAATTTCCCGTGGATCCAGACGAGGCCCAACTACTATTTTATGCTCACAGAGGGATGTGAAATCTCCAAAAAAGAGATGAGGTTCTACGGGGCTCTGTGGACTGTGCTGGAATCGCTAGAAAAGGCCTGATAATGGACATCACTAGCATGAGCTCTGGAGGCCTAGGAGCCTGGCAGTAAGAGGATCTGGGTTACCCCCCCCTTCTGGAATTGGGGACTGCTTCATGCTTTTTCAACTGTTTCCAGATCCATGAGCCACTGATGCCTCTCGAAAACCCCATGAGGTAGGCAGGCCAAGTATCCCTATCCTCCTTTGACAGATGAGGAAAGCGAGGCACAAAAGGGTCAACGGGCTTGACTGCGGTCACCCAGAAAACAGGCAAGGGGGACGAGGTCCCACCTAAGGGATTTGACCTCTCCCTGGAATAGGTCTGTTTGCTTCCTGGACTCGAGATGCTGTACCCCCTCTGAACTCCCAGTGCCCACTTGCTTTTCCCTCCGTTCCAGCCCACTGGCCTCCTGGAATCACACCCTTCACCTGCATGTCCCCAGAGGCAGTTTAGGACTGCGGCCACGAGCCCCAATTTGGGAAGCCATCAAGTCTGTGTTTCTAGATTTTGTTATGCCCTTTATAGCCTGGTGGACTCACTTTGGCAAGCCACATCACCTCTCCGCCTCTTCCGGCACCAGTAAAATGAAAACGGTTACACTGTTCTCAGATTATTGTAATTTTTTTTTAAGTTTTAGAGGTTGATCCTTTTTTTTTTTTAAGATTTTATTCATTTGTCAGAGAGCACAAGCAGGAGGAGCGGTGGCAGGCAGAGGGAGAAGCAGGCTCCCCACTGAGCAAGAAGCCTGATGTGGGGCTTGATCCCAGGACTCTGGGATCATGACCTGCGCTGAAGGCAGATTCTTAACTGACTGAGCCATCTAGGTATCTCAATTTTTAATTTTTAATATAACAAACATGCGTACAATACTCATGTGCCTCGAACAAGTAAGCACTTTCTTCACTATCAAGTCACCCAGTCCTCGTAACAACTGTGCTGTTCCAGTCATCTCCAGATACGAGAAACTGAGGCACAGAAAGGTTTGCTGACCAAGTCTACCCAGCTCATGTGGTAACAGAGCCAGGATCCTATCCCAGGCAGTCCGGCTCTAGAGTTTACGGGATCATCCAGCACCCTGCACTACCCCTGCCCCGCTCTCTCCTCTACTCAAAAAGCCTGACACTGCTGTGATCAGTGGGTGTGTGGTAACCCTCCACATGGGAACTGGGCCCAGCCTCTCCCTGTTCACATGCTTCTCACCTCCGTGGCCTGCGCTGGCCCACTGTGATCCCACTGTGAGCCCACATCATGCCATGGCCAGGCCTGGCCGACCACACAGGCCCCTCAGCTCCCGAGACTCTTGTCACTGGCCCTCCGAGGCTCCGTAGGCACTCTGGTGACAAATCTTACAGTGGCCTTCAGAAACATTTTCCTTCCTCAGAGGGCCACCTCACCTCCTATTCCAAGAGCTCCCCACCTCAGAAGGTCACGGAGAGTATAAAACGAGGTGTGGGCACTGGCGACAGCTCCGGCCAAAGAGGAGAAAGACATTAGAGGCAAAGGAGGATATGTGTGTGTGGCAGGGGAGGGCAACAGGGAGTGGAAGGGAGGGAGGAGATCAAAGAGAAAGCGGCAGCATAAGAAAAAACACCCAAGTGGCAGGAAGAAGGGAGTGGAATGGGAACAAGAAAATGACCCCTCGTCATTTCATAATACTTACTAAATACTTACGTGCCATGTGTGGGGTTACACAATTTTACGTGCACTATCTCACTTAACTATTACAAGTCTCTGTGTAGCAAGAACAATGGTCATTCCCATTTGACAGATAAGGACACTGAGGCACAAGGCTGTGAAATGACCCCCAAAGAAGAAACAGGGCAGGGCGCCTGGATGGCTCAGTCAGGTGAGTGTACGAGTATGGGTCTCAACTCAGGTCATGATCTCAGGGTGGTGGGATCGAGCCCCATGGCAGGCTCTGTGCTCAGCATGGAGTCTATTTCAAATTCTGTCTCCCCCTGCCCTTCCCCCAACTCGAGCACTCTCTCTCTGTCTCTCAAATAAATAAAATATTAAAAAAAAAAAGGGGGCAAGGATGGCATTAAAGGACATTCAGCATTGAAGCAAATGGGTAGTTTTCTTTACTGAACACTGGATCTGTCCTGAGTTCCCCAAAACTTTCTCACAGAGCCTCCCCCATCTTCTTTTCCCCACTTCACAAACACGATCTGGAAAGTGCTATACTTCCCTCAGTAGAAGTTCACTTCGCTGATTCATTTCTGCTCTACAGAACTCACATCTGGAATGCTACTCCAACATAACTATCCTGGTGCTTTTTTAGCTGGAAGATTCTGGAGGCTTTAGACCAAAAGTCCTATATCACTGCAAGTGAAAGCCAAAAACCACTAACAATGTTTTAAACCACACAGGTCATTAGCTTCGTTCTCGCACCCAAGTCAACATCTTTATTTTATTTTATTTTTTAAATCCAAAGAGCAGACTGATAAACCCCAGCAGGCCTCTGGGCTCAGACTGCGTAAAACATGAGGGGCATGGACTCTGTCCGTGATCAGAGCATGACCTCCTTTCTCCCAGGGAGCAGCCCTGCCAGCCGCACCACCACACTCTGCCACGGAGACAAGCAATCCATCGTGCCCTCCATCCCGGGTCACTTAAGTCACTGTAAGTGACTAACCCAAACTCTGGGGCACCTGGGTGGCTCAGTCGGTTAAGCACCCAACTCCGGGTTTTGGCTCAGGTTGTGATCTCAGGATTGTTGGACTGGGCCCTGAGTTGGACTCCGTGATCAGCATGGAGCCTACTTGGATTCTCTCCCTCTCCTCCTCCTCTACAACCCCCCCACCCCGGCCACTTGTGTGTGCACTTGCTGTGCTCTAATCAATAAAATCTATTTTAAAAAAAAAGCCCCAAACTCCCAGGTCACCATGTGACACCTGAATTTGAATCCCCCCCCCACCACAATCTGACCTCATCAGCCACCTTCCCTCAATTCTAGAAACTCCAGTAGCCTACCCTCTGGAACCCACAGACTCTTCATTAGCAAAATCCCCTGTATCCTCACTGTCCTCGGAGCAGTCCCTTCACCTTCTTGCTTTAACAAAAACCCGGTTCCCTCTCCCTCTGAGAAGAACGCTGCCCTCCCAACAGCCCCCTCCAGTGCTGGGTGGTTTGCCTGCCATGTTGCCTTGTGCCATGGGGGCCAGGAGGAGTCCTGCCTGCTCCCTTCTGCTGCTTCTTCATTGGTGCTTTCATGACCATTCTCTCTGCTTCCTTCCTCACCACTCCCCTGATTTCAATCTCATGCCCTTGGCCTCTGCCACCCACCACTCTTCCCGCAGCAGTCACCTACAGACCCTCTCCCCAGACATTCCCCTTCATCCTTGAAGACAGTGCCTCCTGCCTCCCTTGCCATTTCTATGCAACACTCCCATGTCAAAACCCATGTGTTCTCAACTGCCACCTCCTACATAGCCAACTCACCCGCCTCCTATCCACCTTCCAACCTCACTGGCACCTCCGGTCCACTGATCCCACCACCTTTTACTGCCCCTGACTGGCCAGCAGTCCTCAGTTCCACGCTTGCTTATCAGTCCCTTCGCCATATTCTCAGCTCTCCTGACACTCTCTCTCCCTGCATCCTACTTGCCTTGCAAAGCCACACTGCTGGTAAAATCTGCCAGAGAAAAATACAAAG